GGTGACAGCTGAAAGCACTGCTCAGCAGCGAAGAGCCAGAGACCCTACCAAAGGCTCAGTCACAGCTGGAGTGCTCTGCCTCCACTGCCTAGTGCATACAACTGCAGAGGGTTGAACCCCAATTTGAGAGAAAAGGAGCATCTCAGAAAGTTTGCACCATACTTTTGTAAGTTAAACAAGAGAGTGAATAAAAAAGACAAAAGTCATTTGCATGGCAGCTACACTAAAGAGAAAGCATGGAGTCCCAAGCACGGAGGGTGAATCAGAGTCTCAGAAGCACCATCAAGGACTGGAGCTGGAGTTCAGTTGATAGAGTACTTGCTTTGTGTGCAGGAAACCCTGGGCTCAGTCCCCATAACTGCAGGAAATGGGGCATGCTAATGCATACCTAGACTGCAAGCTGTCAGGAGGTGGAGGAGGATAGGAAGTTCAAATTCCTAAATGCCTACATAATAAGTTTGAGGTTAGCCTTAGCTGTATGAGACCTTGTTTCAAAGAGAGAGAAGAGGAGAGAAAAGGAAGATGGGAGAATATGTGAGAACCAATCTTGGATATGCCTTTGAGCAAATCTTCAATCCAACAGTGCAATCTTTGGCCCATATACTATATGCATACCAGAAAAATACTCAGCACTCAGACTGGCACAGCAAAAGACCATTTTTAAAAGACCTGTGCTGTAGATGTCTAGGAACCTATGGAAGCCAAGTTCCTTCCCTGCACAGCTTGTGAACCCAGAGCAAGTTGCATGTGACTCTGATCTGATGTCTATGCTATAGAATACCTAGAAATAGAGGGGAGATGGGGAATAAGAATAGAGGGGAATAAAGACCATGCAGTGTTCCACAGGTGGAAATCTGGTCTTAGCCTTATATTGAAGTAAACCACACAGAAATTGTCTTTTACCTCTGCTCATGCAAGGGACAAGCCCAATCCCATGTGCACCTAAATGAAGGACCACACATTGACACCCCTGCATGTGGTCCCACCCAAGGGTCTGGACAGGGACAAGTCCTGAACCTGTGCTCACACAGGTAATAAAAAAAATCTGTAAACTAAAAGCAGCCTCTCCCAGAATTCAGATTCTTCCACATCTTTTTAGATGAAGTACAACCAGTGCTCCTCAAACTGTTCCATTCAACAGAAAGGAAAGCTTGCTATCAAACTAGTTTTATAAAACTAGTATTACCCATACCAAAAGCAGTTAAGAATACAACAATTATGATTATAAGCTAGTCTCCTGATATAAACACAGTGGCAGAACTTCTCAATAAAACATGTACAGGCTGAATTACAACTATTCATCAATAAGATCATTCACTATGCCCAGGGTTCCTTCCAGGGATGAAAGAGTACTACAAGGCATATGTCTTAGTTAGGGTTGCTGCTGTGATAAAACACCATGACCAAAAGTAGCTTGGGGAGGAAAGGGTTTATTTCATCTTACAACTTGAAGTCTATTATTCAGAGAAGTCAGAGCAGAAACTCGAGGCAGGAACTGATGCTGAGGACATGGAAGAGTGCTGTTTACTGACTTGCTCCCCATGACTTGCTCAGCCTGCTTTCTCATAGAACCCAGGACCACCTGCCCAGGGGTGGCAGTGAACTGCCCCCACCCCTGCATCAATCATCAGTCAAGAAAATGCACCACAGGCCAGTCTGATGGGGGAATTTTCTCAATTAAGGTTCCCTCTCCAGAAATGACTCTAACTTGTTGTCAACTTGACATAAAACTAGCCATTACAACACACCAATCAGTAGATGCAGGAAAGACATTTGACAAAATGATTCATCCCTACAGCATGAAAGTCTAAAGAAAGTTCGACTAGGAGGAACATACATCAATATAATGTAATAAAGGGTACATTTATGACAAACCCACAGCCGACATTATTATCGTTCTAGTTTGAGTACATGTGCTGCCGAAGTGAGCACTCCAACATTATTATAAGTGAAAGAAAAACTTTAAAATTCCACTAAAATTAGAAATGAGACAAGATTGTCCTCCTCCACTCTTGTTCCATATTGTGCTTGAAGGATTAGAGTGATAAGGGAAAGGGAAAAAGAGATATGAAAAAGAAACTACCTTTTTGCATATAATATAATCCTATTTGTAAGAGACCATGTGACACGAATCTTAAAAGGTCTTAATGAAAATAAACCTGGAGCCAGATATTGAGGTGAAAGCTGAACAATCAAAGAGCAGAGTAAGCCAGCCAGGAGTTCTTACCTCTATGAAATCCTCAGTCTAAAGAGAAGACTTCCTGTTTCCTCATCTTATATACCTTTCTGTGTCCTGCCACATTACTTCCTGGGATTAAAGGTGTGTGTCCTTCCCAAGCAAAGACATGAGATCCCAAGTGCTGGGATTAAAAGTGTGTGCCACCACGCCTGGCTCTGTTCCCATTGTGGCCTTGAACTCACAGAGATCCAGCTGGGATCTCTGCCTCCTGAATGGTAGGATTAAGGGTGTATGCCACCACTGTCTGACCTCTGTGTCTAATCTAGTGGCTGACTGTGTCCTCTGATCTCCAGATAAGTTTTATTGGGGTACACAATATCTCACCACAAGACCCTAAAGAGTCCACTAGAAAATGTAAAACTCATAAACACATTCAGCAAAGTAATAGAATATAAAATAGACAAAAGTCAGTAACTTCCTGTATACCAATAGCAAGCATGACGAGAAACAAATCAAGAAAAGAATCTATTCGCAATCATTTTTTAAATATACCTATATGTTGGGATGTACTGCTGGCTGGTTGAGGTCACAGTCTGCCATAAGCCTAAGCTTTTTCTCTAAGCTTGGCAATATGGAACTCCCTCCCTCCCCAGCAAGGCTTCTTGCTCTCAAACTGCCTTTATCTGGAGAATGTCCCTGGGCCCGGAGGACTGACCTTATCTGAAAGCTATCTGTAATGTCTCTAAAACCAGATGCCTGACTTATTGTTAGCTCAAACCCTGACAGAGATCTCTGCGGGAAGGCTCCCTTGCTACACATGCTAGGAGCCTTTTGATAGGAGCATGCCTCTTAATACTAATTAGGTGATGCCCCTGCCACTGTCCCCAGCCCTTATATTCCTCTTTCTTCCTGGAATGAAGTGGTGCTGTAACACTTAACCATCTCCCTAGAGAGCTGTCTCCGCTAACTCACAAGCTGTGGGATCCTCCTCACTCGTTCTGGCTCCCTCCCACCTTGGAGCGAACAGCACCTAGAAATAAACCTAACCTAGGAAGTGAAAACTTCCTCTAAAATTAAAATATTCTAAAACACTGAAGAAATCAAAGAAGATGCTAGAATATGGAAAAACCTCCCACGCTTCTGGATCAACAGAATTAATACAGTGAAAATGTATCACTGAAGGCAATCTATAGATTCCTTGTCTACTCCAATGACATCATCACAGAAAATAAAACTCAGAAGAATCACATGGAAGCAGAAAAGACTCAGAATATCCAAAGCAAGCATGAATAAGAAGAATCAATGGCATTCTTGGTGGCTTGAACTGGGGCATGTTAAGTCTTTTAGAACAATAGTGCTTATATAATATTATTATGGATAAAGGAAACCCACACCTCCATTCCCTGTGATCTGGACTTCAGCAGGCCATCAGGTTCCACCTGATGGGCCTATCTATTGGATTTGTTCCTGGTATTCTAATGACTTCCATGTCAACCTTCTAACCAGCCTTCTCACTTCACACTTGTATGACTGACAGATACAAGACTATGCTGTGTCTCAGTGATCTTTATCCTAACACAGCCCCACCTCATCCCCAAAAGACCTCCTCTGTCTTTAGAATATTCCTACATCAAGGATGACCCAAACTTAACTTCCCAGTGCCCTGCACATTATTATTTACAGAACTTTAGAAACATTTGCCTTGTAGAGAATCTGAGGTCGCTTCCTAAGCCTTTAAAACTTGGTCTCACGGGCTTGATGCCCCACCCAAGACTCCTCCCAGAAGTCCCACAATCTAGCTGACTATCATTACCCAGATATACTTAATCCCACATCCTCCCTAGCTAACTACTCCAGGCTCCCCAAGAGACCATAGTATTCTCATGGCCTAGGATGTAACTCTACTGTTGAGTCATCTACAAATAAAAAAATAATCTTGTTGGTGTAATTGGTAACCCACTCCAGTCTCTAACTGATCTGCTACTGAGACACCGTAGGCTCAGCTCCATATTAAAATCAACATCCTCCTAGAAAAAGCCATATTTATAAACTGTATTTCTAAAAATAATTGAAGAACCTCATATTTAAGAGAAGTACATGGAATTTTAATTCTACTTTGGTTTTATTTTCAAAAATTATTTTTCTGTTTTTATCCTACAATCTTAAATATATCGTAATCTCTCACTAATGGTTATTTTTCCTCTTTCTTTATTCAGTCAGACCATAGAATTCATTTGATGAAGTATTGAGGGGTCTAATTGTTTAATAGGCTGGAATTAGTACCTGCAAGAGTACTTCAAAATTGGCACACACCCGGCATAATTGCAAATCCTTTAGAAGAATCTATTTCTGTACAATAGGTTAATTGGTTGTAAGTAGATAGTACTAGGTACCATTTAACCAAGCTTCTAATTTAATCCCTACCTTTTAAAAATCAAAACTAAAATAGCTAATTGTCATCAAATTAATCCCCGTGGAAAATACAGCAGGCTGCTTGTCTCTGATGTTCAAGCTTTAAGTGTCGTAAAGCACCTGCCTTTAACTTCACACTGGTGCCCACAGACAAGAGAGCTATTTCCCAGAGCAGCCATGGTGTCTCGAGATGGGAGCATGAGAGTCAGCTAGCCAATGTAAAGTTCAGATTATGGTGATTCAGATCCCTGAGGAGAATCAGGGCCATTTTTAAGGAAACTTAAGTCAAACAGAAGGAGCACTCTGGAGCCAAGGCGGAGGCTTCAGATGACCACCTTAATTCCAGTCATGCTGTGGGTCTCTTATGTGCTGTGGAAGTTCCTAACTTGCTTCTGTTCCCTGTTCTTAGTGGTGCAATCTGTGCATTGACTTGGTTGCATTCACCAGTGAGATATTCAAGGGAGCAGTTTTCCAGTCGTTGGACGGAATTATTGTTTCTGCTAACTGTAAGCTTCGGAAGATCTTCACTTTAAAATCAAAGCCTCGAGAAACTGCTGATAAAGATGGTAAGCTTTCTTTTCTAGTTTTGGGGACCTTTCTTTCAGAGAAATGTAAAGTAAGAGATAAACTTAAATATTAATATAGAATGCAAATATAAATTATAGACATAAAAGTTTTTTTAAATCGAGAACAGTTCCGATATTGGCTAGACTGATTTGTATTGCCACCATCAGCATATAAGGTTCCCTTTCCCCACACCTTGGCAGCATTTCTGAGGTGAGATAGAACCTCTACAGTTTGAATTTCCTTAGGTTGATGTTGAACATTTTTTCATGTTTATTACCCATTCTTACTCCCTCTTGAGAACCATCTATTTCATCGGCTTACTTAGTAATTGAGTTGTTTTGATTTGGGGTAGTGGTTCTTTTGATATTCTAGATATTAATCTTCTGTCAAGTATTGACGCATTCTATAGACTGTGTCTCCACCCAGCTCATTGTTTGCCTTGCAGTGCAATTACACATAGGTTCGAATTGCACGTAGTCCTAGTTCTGTGTTCTTGCCCCTCCTTCCTGGACTACTGGATCCTTGTTAGGAAGTTCTTGCTGACGCCTGTATTTTTGTGTTTTCCCAATTTTCTCCTCTAATGGCATTACTTTGAATCTTCTATTAAATTCTGTATAGAGTTTAGGGATCTAGTTTCACTCTTTTTGTTTGTTTGTTTTAATTTCAATATACTTTTATTTTTAAAACAGTTAACAACAGTAAGTGCTTAGCCCATTTTGGCATTGTACTTTTATGAGTGGATAATCCGGTTCTCTCAGTAACATTTTTTGAAGAGACTGTTTTTCTCTATTTTATGGTCTGAGCATCTTTGTAAAAAATCAGGTTGCTAAAGCTACATGGTCAAAATTGCTTTGGGTATTTAGTGTCTTTTGTGTGTCCATATTAATTTTACAATTGTTTTTGCTAGTTCTATGACAACTGTTATATTAAGGTTCTCTAGAGGAACTGAACCAATAGTAACCAGTAGGAGTAGTAGTGTATTTGTGTGTGCGTGTGTGTGTGCGCGCGCACGCGCACATACATGGAAAAAAAAAACCTTATTAAATCAACTTACTTTGAAATAGTAACAACAGTTGTCTCATACCTGAGAAACTGAGAACAAGGTAGTTGCTCTGTCCTCGAGGCTGGGTACCTCTTCAATTAAGTAGTCCATTGTGGCTCTCTCACACTGGAGAGGACAATAGCTCAGGAGTTACTTAGTCACATAGGCCAAGTGTCTCAGTAGTTCCATCTGACAAAGAACATGTGGAGCGTTCCTGGGGGATACTGGTCCTCAGGCAATGACAGAAGCCTGGAAATGTTGGTTCTAATAGCAGCAAAGGAATCAACAGCAGCGGCAGCAGGCAGCAAGGGCCAGGCCAAGGGAGCACAGGCAGATTATCTTCCTTCCTCCACACACCCCTTTTATCGGTGCTGCTACCTGAAGCTACATCACAGATGTCGTTGCATTTTTTTTTTTTTTTGAGGCAGGTTTTCTCTGCATAGCCCTGGCTGTCCTGGAACTCAGTCTGTAGACCAAGCTGCCTTGAACTCAGAGATCTGCCTGCCTCTGCCTCCTGAGGCAGCTTCATTGGACTTTTTGAATCTTATTTTATATATTCTTTGAGAATTTTGTACATATATGCAATGTCATTTGAATTTTGATAGGGATTGCATGTAATCTATAGATTTCTTTCATAGATATAACCATTTTTATTGTATTAATTGTACTGATCCATGAGCCTGGGGGATCTTTCCACCTCTGCTGTTTGAAATTTTTCACTATAGAGATCTTTTATTTTCTTATTTAGGTTTTTTTCCAATGTAATATTTGAACCATTGTGAATGGGATTGTTTTGCTCATTCTTCTCACTATGTTCATTGTTTGTACATAGAGAAAAATTACTTATTTATATAAGTTGATTTTTATATCCTCATGCTTTGCTAAAAGTGTTTTATCAGTTTTAGAAATTTTATGTTAGTTTTTAGATTCTTATGTACAAGATCATATTTTCTTCCAATAGAGCCACTGACTTCTCACTTTCTTATTTGCACCCTTTATTTATTTAATCTTGTTTGTTTGTTTTTTCGAGACAGGGTTTCTCTGTGTAGCTTTGCGCCTTTCCTGGAACTCACTCTGTAGCCCAGGCTGGCCTCGAACTCACAGAGATCTGCCTGCCTCTGCCTCCCGAGTGCTGGGATTAAAGGCGTGCGCCACCACCGCTCAGCATTATTTATTTAATCTTACTGCACTAGCTAAGAAGAAGAGTAGAGGAAGAAGATATCCTTGTCTTCCTGTAGTGGAAATACTTTAAGTTTTTCCCTGTTTAGTATAATATTAGCTATAGTTTTGTCGTATTTTGCCCTTAAGCTGTAGTTGGTCCCTTCTATTTCAGATTTTTGAGTGTTTTTATAATGTAGATTGTGCTGAACTTTGTCAGAGGCATCAATTGATGATCATGTGACTTCTATCCAGAGTATTCCATTGTATCACATTTTGTGTGTGTAGGCTTATTCTTGCATTCCTAGAATGAAGCCTTCTTGATCAATGGACAATGATCCTTTTCTGGGGTGGGGGGGGGGTCAGACCTATCTTTATTCCATTTGGGTTAATAAACTTTAAAAATTGGGTTCCATAGTCAGAAAATAAAATTCTGTGTCCCAGGAAAACATCTTTAAGTTCTTAGTAATAAATCTTTTTTTAGAGATAATAGTATTACAACATTAACCCCTTTCCCTTCCCTCCAAACCTCCCAGATACCTCTCCTTACTCTTTTTTTCAAATTCATGACCTCTGTTTTCATTCATTGTTATTACATGTATATATAAATGTTTGTATGTGTGTTTGTGTATATGTGTATATATACATACATACACATATGTATATATTCCTAAATACCTAAGTTCAATATGTTCATATAATGTTACTTTTATATATGTTTTAAGAACTGACCACTTGGAGTAGAATATTATTTTAAGGTATGTTACTTTTGCTTATGTTGCATTTGTTTAACTCTGTGGAGTTTTGTTACTGGGCCTGGGTAAAACACCTGATGGTCTAATAAAGAACTGCCCAATAACAAGGCAGGAGAAAGGATAAGTGGGGCTGGCAGGCAGAGAGAATAAATAGAAGGAGAAATCTGGGAGGAGAGATCTCACAGCCAGAGGAGGAGGACTCCAGGGGCCAAGCCACCCAGCTACACATCAAGCCACGGAGTAAGAGTAAGATTTACAGAAGTAAGAGAATGGGAAAAGCCCAGAGGCAAAAGGTAGTCAAGATAAGTTACATTAAGGAAAGCTGGCAAAAAATAAGCCAAGCTAAGGCCAGGCTTTCATAATTAAGAATAAGCCTCCATGTATGGTGTGATTTATTTAGGAGATGGGTGGCAGGGTCTCCCAAAAGAGTAAAAACCAACAACAACCATTTGGTATTGGATAATCAATTTGTGTCTACTTTCCTGCCACCCTCACCAGGGAGATTTCTTCTTCTTCATGCTTCTCTCTGTTGAGTGAAGCATGTTATCATAGTTGTCTGATCAGGTTACGTGCTGCAAGGGAGACTGGTAGAAGCACATACATGGTTTCTGTTTTGCAGAGCAGGATTCATTGTATGAGAAAGCCACTAAATTAAGGATATACAAATGACAGTGAGCATCCAAGAACTCCAGAGTTTCCTCACTCTCTTCTTACTCTGTATGAGTTTCATGTAGTGATTTGACAGCAATGATAATTTCCTATTGAATGTGTTAGAAATGGAAAGAAAGTTGAGTTCTTCACATTGTCTATATAAAGACTAGAATATGTACATTATTCTTCATTTATCATATTATTGATTAATACATTCTGTAGATTATTTAGCTGTCTAGTGTTTACATATGAATATACAATCTTGTTACAATGCTTATAAACATCACAAAATATTGAAAGAATACTAATGATTTCCTTTTATTTTCACCTGGGATTGGGTTATTTTATTAAAAATCAGTTCTTCTAGGAGCTAAGAGTAGATCTGCACATAGATGTCACAGGTGATTTTTAGAACTTTGTCTGTGAACTTTAGACCTGTGTTCCACCTGGATGTGGGTCATTAACATTATGCCTATACATTTCGTTTGATAATAAAACAGCAATGCATGCTGACAGTTCTCCAGAGATCACAAGGAGACAAATGCTCCTGTACGTATTACCTATCACTTAGAGGCTACAGTTGAGATACTGCAAAAACCTTCTAATAAAATGCTGCAACATGTACAGAAAATTATATGCACTCTATATCAGATCATAGTAAATTAATCATAGCCTAATAAATATATATATGTAAAGAAAAAAGTGAACCAAGCATTGCAAGTGAAATACATGTTTAATCTCTGATCCTTCTTTAAACTCCCATCAAAATTATCCAGAAATTTTTTAAAGGGTATAAATTCACAAGGATGCAGTGTAGGAGAAGAAAAAAATAGCAGACCAAAGTTGCCTCTACATTTTTAACCTGAAGGAGTGTCATAGGAGAAGAAATAAAGCTGAAGCCTTTGAATCTACACAGAAGTTGGCCAGAGATTTGAGGGGAGTTTATTCTGCCATGGCTGCCATAGGGTAAGGGACACACTAAAGACAGGGAGAGTGGTTACAGTTGGTTCAGGTGGCTTCTCTGGCCGCATATAACCATGTGGCAGATGTGTTCTCTAAGGAAACTGAGGCAGAGAGCTTTGAATTCAGCTACATTCGGCACATGACACAGCAGGGAGAAGGAATAAATTATGACTGGGAATGTTTTATCTCAGTTAATAGAAGATACATCTGTAAAAGAGTCATTTGTTCTCACCTCACTTCAGTAATCATTTTATTGAAGCGTAGGTGTTATATTGTCAACTTTTTGTATGCATATAGAAGCATGCCCAAATCCTAAATGTGCCTGTTGTGGAATTACAGCAGTGTTGACACATTTCTGTATTTCTGTAATCAAGAAATTTGAGCATTCCTGTCAATAAATTTGAGCATTAAAAATATCCTGAAAATGCTG